GCAGGCCAAGCAGCATCATAGGAGCAGAGAGGCTGCTTGGCCTGCTGTGTTCATCCAGCCCTGCACCTTGTTGTCTCGGATTCACCAGCATCTGCAGTTCCTACTATCTCTGATTCTATTATAGTCTTGATTCATTTTTCTTTTGGTAATTTTCTCAGTTCTCTTGCCCTGACTGCATGTAGAGTTGGGTAAAAAAGTCGAAGTTTTTGTTTTGAACAAACTTAATTTAGCTTGTCATTGTTGTTAAACTGAAATCTACAGTTTAAATTCTTAGTTGCCAACTTTAAGCTGGGTTTTAATAAGGCTTCCAGTGGAAGAACTGCTTAATTAAGTAGTAGCTGAAGCTGGATAATCATTAAGTGACTAAGATGGACTTTTCTGGAGAATGCAAATTGGCCAACTTAGTGTGATGTTACATTGGAGTGTGACTTATAGAGTGCTCAAGTAAACTGATTAAGAGAGGAAAAGGCAGGATGTGAAAGGTGCTCTGTTGTTTTTACATTTCCTAAACTGTTTTTAGCCTCAGGGATTGAGTTTTACTCTGCTACTGGAGAAGACACTGGTTATTTGGTGAATGACTAATGCTTATAATGTTAGAAGTTGCTGTTCAAGGATCCTCAGTGAATTTCTGCAGTGCATCTCATAGATGGTACACACTGCTATAGACTGTCACTGGGGGAGGTCTGCCTGAACCATGCTGTGGCCAGTGTTGTTTCTGACTGCATGACAAAGGAAGTAGACAGGGTTTAAAACTACATAGTTGTGCCAAGAAATCAAATTTGGGAAGATGTGGTGAATCAAAGATTCAAAGAGAAAATTATTATTAATATGGGAAATTGTAAACAAATTGTGACAGAAAGGGATAGTGAGTTTGAATCTGAGTCAACCAACAAATAAGACTAGAATTTACAAAATGAGTAAAGGGATCAACCTAAAGGCTGTGTACCTGAATGCACACAGCATTCAAACAAAACAGATAAACAGAGTGCAAACAGAAGTGAATAAGTAGGATCTGGTAGCCATTGCAGAAACATGGTTGCAGAATGACATGGATTAGGATGTGAATTTTGAGGGTATAAAGCATTTAAGAATGAAAGGAAAATGTTGGAGGGGTGGTTTTTTTAGTTAATGATGTTATTAGTATAATACAGGGATGACCTAAGTTCAGGGTATGGGAACTGTTTGGGCAGAAATAAGGGACGATAAAGAAAAAAAATCAATTTTGGAAATGGTGTACAGGCCCCTGTGGATCATTGGTGAATTTAATCTGTATATGGATTGGAAAGGTCAGATGGGCAAAAGTAGTCTAAATGGTGAGTTCATAGAATGTTTACAGAGTATCTTCTTAGAACAACATGTTCAGAAGCCAATTAGAGAACAGATATACAATACCTGGTGCTGTGCAATGAAAGAGGATTGATTAATGATGTTTATGTAGCAGCAAACATAATACGATTGAACTTTAAATTTAGGTTGAGGGAAAGAGCAGTGGGTTTGAGACTATTTTTAAAAATGTAAATAAGAGAATAATGAGGGCATGAACGCAGAGCTGGAAAAAAAAATGAATTGGCAAATGAAGTTAAAGGATAGGTCAGTAGAGAGGCAGTAGCAGACATTTAAGGGGGATATTTCAGAATAACAGAATAAATATATCACAAATCAGAAAAATTCCGAAGGACCCACCATCCATGGTCAACTAGAAAATTCAAAGATAGCACCAAGCTAAAATAAACAAATATATAATTGTGCAAAAAAAAGTGTGGCAGGTCAGAATATTGGACAGAATACAAAATACAAAGAATGACCAAAGATTAATAGTAAAGAAGCAAGAAGTGGAGAATGAAAGAAAGCCAGACAGAAATACAAAATCAGATTGTAAGATTTACACAAGTATCAAAGAGTTAACAAAGTGAGCATTGGTCCTATAAAAAGTGAAACCAGAAAATTAATAATGTAAGAAAGGAAATGACAAATTCATTCAACAGGTACTTTGTACCAGTTTTTATTAGAGAGGATGTGAGTAATATCCCGGAGACAGTGATAAATTCAAAACTGGAAGGGAGGCAGGAGTTCAGGAAAATCACAATCACCAGAGAAGTGGTACTGAGTAAATTATTGAAGCTGAGGACTGCATCTTGGAGTCTTAAATAAATGGCTAGTGAGACAGTTGATGCAATGGTTTTAATTGTCCAGAACTCCCTTAATTTGAGGACAGTTCTGTTACATTGGGAAGATAGCAAGATATTCAAAAAAGGAGGGAGACAAAACAGGAAACTACAGGCCAGTTAGCTTAACATCTGTTATAGGGAAAATGTTAGAAGCTATTACTAAAAAGTTGTAGCAAGACACTTAAGTAAGTTCAAAGTAATCAGGTAGAGTCAGCATGGTTTTGTGAAAAGAAATCACATTTGACAAATCTAGTAAGAGTTTTTCAAGGATGTAACCTGTTGTGATTAAAGGATAACCAGTGAGTGAATTAGAAGACATTTAATAAAATCTCATCATAGGGTATTCTGGAAAATAAAAGATCATGGTGTAGGGGTGGAATATTGACATGGACAGAAGATTGGCTAACAGGAAGCAGAGACAAGATATATATGGTTCTTTTTCAGATTGGCAAAATGTAGTGCACCAATGAGTTTGGTGCTGGCACTTCGACTATTTACAATTTATATAAGTGATTTAGATGAAGGGATGGAAGGTATGGTTGCAAAATTTACTGATGACACAAAGGTAGGACAGTAAGTCATGAGGATATAGATTACAAAAAAATGGATAGGTTAAGTAAGTGGACAAAGATGTGGCAAATTGACTATAATGTGGGAAAATGTGAAATTATCCATTTTGGCGAGATGAGTAAATAAATGGCATGGTGTAAATTGTAGAGCTGTGAGAGGCAGAGGGAATTGCCTGCTAAAATCAGAGTTTGGGTGAAATGTTTTCTCTAAGGGTCATGGTGTTTAGAATTATCTACGTGCAAAGGTGGTGGAAGCAGAAGTAGATAGATGTCAAACGAGAGGATGAAAATTTGTCACAAATATGCAAAAATGTGGATTTGAGGTTCCAATTAGATCAGTCGTGATCTTACTGAATGGCCTACCCCTGCTCCTAATTTCTATGTTTGTACAAAGATCTTTGTTGATGTAAGGTGCCATGGGGAGCAATCATCCTCTGGCATCTCACCATGCAGCTGCATTTCATCCATATTCTTGAAGAATGGTTGAGAGTAGGTTATTCTACCAGGGAAGGTATTGTGCTCAATCTTTGACCCTCCTTACCCGAGGCTCTATAGTACACCTTTTTAATTGCGGCAGTGATCAGGATTAAGAAGCGTCCTTCACTGACATGCAAAGATACCAATTTCAATGTCCCATCAGGGTTACTCATGGTCAGCTACAATCTCAAACTAGAACCCAACCAATGGGAAAGGAAGAAATTAGGTTTGATTTTTATCTACATTCTGTAGAAGTCAGAAAAATTCTGTCTAGAGGAACCGATTACTACTAAATATGTAATCATTTGATAATCAGTATAAAAGAAGCCAAACTGCTGAAAATTTGAACCTTGTCTTCATTATAACTCAAACAGTAATTCGAATGGAAACCTTCCTCACCACCTTATGCGACGTTCAGGTGATTGAATTTTAAGTTTAGCCACCTTCAATGAAAAGAGGTGACTATCTAATTAACAAAGCACCTTTTTCTCACAAAGGAGAAAAAAATAAAGTGCATTTAACAGGATCTGTAAGCCTATGAAAAATATTCTGTTGGTTAAAATTCCTATTCCAGCTGCCCGCACCCCCGCTTCCCCTCCAAAATACCACTCACCACAAAATGGAAGTTCTTAGAAATTGTTTCTAAAAAGCACTCAAACAGAAGAGTGCACCCTGATGTGAAAATGTCACTGTGACTGGAAAATCACTTGCTTTAATGTGCTGTTAAAGGCTTCTATTTGTAACCATTAGAATCACTCAGCAAATGTGTCCGTGAATTGAGAAGAAATACTTGAACAGGTCAGTCAAGAATCTTGCTCATAAAAAAAAAATCCCAAACAGAGAAATGGAATGAATCCCTGAATATTAGCTTCAAGGTTGAATGCACAGTTGTCAATTTTACCCTCCCTCTCCATTCCCCATTGACAACAGTGAAGGAGAAAAACATACCTTGCACATTGTGTTGGAACAACAGAGAAAGGCTAATTGCTAAATAACATAATTTTAAAAATTCTTCTCATTTCTTTAGAATTCCTTCCAGAAATGCTTTCCACCTCTCTTTCCATGTGCCCTCTTTTCTCTAAGGTATGTTTGGTGCAGTTTTCAAATATTTTGTTTAAATTTAAATGTCTCTTGCCTTCTGAGAATTCAGTTTACAGTTGCATGAATCTGATGTGCAATTACTTTTCAGCAAAGCCATTTGTTTGAAAGATTCCTGATGATGGGAAGCCTCTTATAACTCCCACTTAATTAAGTGATAACTTTGGCTGGTCAGGAGTGTGCAAGGCCATAAAGAGGTCTTATCCTGCAGCTTCCATATTTAAATCAACATAAGTTACAGCAAGTGCAGAAAATCTGAAATAAAAATAGCAAATGCTCACATCAGCAGATGCGAAAAGAAATAAGATACATTAAAATCTGGGTCTGCACCTGAAATGTTAACCAATCTATTCTTGTTTCGAATGTTGATGGACCTGATGAGTATTTCTAGAATTTATTAAGTATTTATTATTAGATTATAAGAATTGGTTTAAAATAAATTTTGGTCGAGTTTTAAATATATTTATAATCTTGACGTAGGTACAGAAAGCCTCAGACAAGAACTTCTATATCAGAACTGCACACTATATCAACCCCTATTTTAGAAGGGCATTTAAGAAAAAAAATCTAACATTTTTTTCAATATGGTGGGGTGGATCACTATCAGCAAAAACTACAAACTGGAGAAATCAAACAAAATTGTGTGAAGATTCTAAGTTTACAATCAAGCAGATGAATCATCTATGGCCAAATTAGAAATAAATTTCTAATTCATTATTACCCTTTTCCCTACAGAAAAGCAACTTCAGAAAAGCAAGCAGAAACTCCCTTTTGTCAATTCAAATTGTTTCAGCTAAATTTTTCCTGGCAATCTTTGTTCCATTATTTTAACAGTTTGAGTGTGAAATGTTGAGATTATGTTCAAACTACAAAATGATAGCCATAATAAACTGCTATTTATGTTTTCACTTACCCACTAAATTCATTATCTATCACCATTTTCTGCAGTCCTGAGGATATGCTGCTATTGGAGGGATTTGGTGTTGAGGTGCATGGGTCAGAGGTCGTTGGCACAGGTACAGCTCCTGGGTTGGTCAGTACAGTGTTGACATCTCTTAAAATGCGAGGCAAGGGGCCAAGCTTTGTTGAAGTTGCCTAAGAAATAGATATTCATATTTATAGAACATAAACATATGCAAGTGATTTAATAAAATCAGTGCAAAGAATTAAGTCAATGATGATGCCAAACCAATAATTTCAGTAATGAATGATACATACAACATGCACAACCTTACTTTATTCGTACAGTTATGTATGGTGATAGAAAAAGGGCATACAGGAAAGGGACATATAAACCAGGGAACTAGAAATCCCCACCTAAACCCATGAATTCAAAGTTCTGACTGACCTGAGGATTAGAAAAACAAGGCAGTTTTTTTATATATAAGAGTAAGGGCAGGTAATTACATCTTGGGAAGCATGCATCTACAGCAGAATGCTCTGCTCTATATGTTTCGTAGAAATTGCTGTCCTTTTGAAGAGGATCCAGTTTTTATAAGCTTTGCAACTGAGCAGAAAAAATGCATTTAGTTGATAGTTTTAGCCTTTGTCACCTCACCTCATTTACCTTTAGCAGTTTTCTATTAATACCTAATTTGCTGCAAGCTGTCTATTTCTTTTCTATTTTCATGAAAATTTTCCTCAGCAATATTCTCTTTAGCTGCCTTTTATTGTTCATTCAGATAATTTGAATATGTAGGTCTGGTGAAGGCTAAACATGATATGCATCTCTTTCTGCTGTAAACAAACTGGCATACTTTTTCCAATATCTTCTTATACTCCCTTTCCAACAATTCTTCACTTGTTCATTTCTTCTTGAATCTTCTAAACATTGGCATATGAAATTTTGCCAATCCTACGTTTTTAACCTCCTGTCTCATGCAACTCTTTTCATAAAGGAACATCAGATTCTATTGAGAGAAAATTAAACCTGAAAATGAAATATGCAGAGAGTAGAGTCTTGGAACTAGTTATATATTTCATTCAAGTCAGCTGCAGGATTTGTTTTTAATGATTTTGCCACATGTTTAGAAAATGCATTAGGTTGATGTTGAAACTAAAAGCAAAGTAACCAACAGCCACTTTAAGAACACACTCTGTACTTTTATATTCAACTTAACCAAAGTTCCTGGTGGAATTACTTTTTGTATCTCTAATGGGAATGTCCATAATTCTGATAGATCTCAAAAACAACTAAACAATCTGTATTCCACGTCTTCAACAAAATTACCCCAACACTACAAACAAGGCTAAATTTTGCCTAATTTCTGAACACTTCTATTAAACTGAACCTTTATGCTGCCTTTCAAAGCATGTTAATAAATCAAGTCTGTGGACCTTTCTTGCCAACTAAGTTCCCACTTTCAAATTTATAATAAAAATTAGCTGTTAAACGCATTATACAATAATAACATACTCCTGCCTGTAGAAGTATTGCAGCATCTCAGCTGTGTCTATCCCAGATCCAATTGTGTAAGATCTTAAAATAGGAAGCTTGAGTAAAGGCTGCACATCCTTCTCCAAACAGCCACCACTTCCTCAACCAGCCTTATATTTGATCCCAATTTCTGTCTTGTCTCCAGTGGAATTGGAGAAGGATTAGTATCTAAATACAATCTGTACAATATATTGATACATACAAGACAAGTATAGGGCATAATGAGCATCTTATGCCATGTAAACAAAATCTCATAATACAAAGCATAGAACTCATCATTAAACCCAGTGTCAATTGTGATGTGTTGTTACCTATACATCAATCCCGCAAATACCATTAATTGAATTAAAGACATGAAAGTACACCTGCTCCATTTGCGAAACCACTTCCCAGAGCAGCGAATGTAGGGTGGAGAGTTCTCGACCCAGATCAATGTAACCCTCAAATCCTGCTGTATTTGAAATGGTTTCTGGATTGGAAATTTCCAGTAAGAATCGCTGCATGTTGGTCCACTCATGTTCAAGGAATTGATTCATGAAAGACATATATTCTTCCTTGCTACCAAACCTGTTGTTGAAATATTAAGATCAAAGTTTTATTTGTTCATAACATCTTTATGTCAACAAAACCCATTGTATAAGTCTATCAGCAAAGGCATTCTTAAGATATTATTGTTGCATGCACTAATGTAAACCAAAAGTGACTTGGTACTGAATTAGATTATTCATAATTGGAATGCAAGACAATGTTTGTGCACCCCAGCCTCAGAACTCAGCTTTAGATCTAAGATTAAACCTGTTTAAAACACAGGCATTTGGCCAAATTCACCACGTTGCTTTTATCGACTCTTTGTTTCTCCTATTAAGTAAATAAATCCAATTTCAATTACGGGCTATTATTCAGAACTGATCCTTCCATTGTTGAAATTGGCTTTTTGCACACAGCATGGGAAGGAACACAAGTTCAATATTAGCTCCCACGAGCTTGGTGACATGGAAAGACAGGTTTTTTTTTTATTCATTCACGGGATGATGGTGTTGCTGATTAAGCCAGCATTTATTGCCCATCCCTAATTGCCCGTAAGGTAGTTAAGAGTCAACCACATTGCAGGCGAGACCAGGTAAAGATGGCAGATTTCCTTCCCTAAAGGACATAAGTGAACTAGATGGGTTTTTCCTGACAATTGACATTGGTTTCATTATCATTAGAATCTTTGAATTCAACAAAAAAAAAATCTGGAATTAATTCTAACGTCTGCCATGGTGGAATTTGAACCCAGGTGCCCAGAACATTAGCCGAGTTTCTGGATTAATAGTCTAGCAATAATACCACTAGGCCACCACCTTCCCTCTTTATGGCGCAATTATACCAATCGGAACAGCCTTTTGCACCAATCAGTACTTAAATCTAAACAGCAGAGTCTGACATTCAGTTCTCAAGTTTCAGGAAATGGAGAGAAATGGTGTGAAGGGAGAGGTCAGGCATGATGGAGGTGTGAACAGTAAAGGGTACGAAGAGATCATGAGGTGAGAGCTGCTGGGGGGGCGTACGGGAGAGTGAAGGTAATGGTACCATTATTGTACCATGAGGAGCAGAAGGAAGTGGACTTTTGATAATAGTTTATGAATTCATACATGCATATGATAAGACATCTATTTTCTACCTGAGAACTACCATGAAACAAAATGGAGTCCCCTCCCAACTCCCAAAACCATCATAATTATCAAATGATAAACCTGCTAAACAAGCCTAGTATGGCTGGTATAAAGATTTTGATAGTTTGACAGCACATTTGTTGCTCCCTTCTGATTTGTTTACTGGTTGATTTTTTTCCACTTTGCTTTTACTCATGGCAAAAATTATTTTTTTTTTTGTTTTTCTTAAAGAAAACGGCTAATTCATCAATTTTGGGCCATACTTTCTGCTGCTGCTCAAAGATTAGTTAATGGCAGGCACAGATACTGTAACAGCAAATAGTTGCAGGAAACCATTTCCAAAAGTCAACAATCCTGACCCTTTGGTGCCGTATTTAACCCAACACAATGGGATTTAGAGATAGTGAAATGACAATGAACAGTAAAAAACAAAAGAACTATTTGCATTCTGCCCCTCCCCACAGGGATAGAATGAAGCAAAGTCAAAAATTTTACTATTTCAGGTGGGTGTAACTTTGAGGAACTTATAAAGGAACCCTACTGTGTACACCAAATGTTTATGTAATGGAGCAAATCTACAAGTTCATACATTTAAGTAAAATCTGAACCATGATTGTATGAAATGAGAATGTCATCTGTTTGAGCTTGTTTTTACACTTTGTATGACCTCATTGATTGTGCGTGTTCAGACAAGACTCAATAGCTGAGCTTTGGTCTGTCCCAGTCATTTTGAAGCAGGGAGGTCTGTCATTGTACAGTCTGTATGATTGACTGACTAAATTGATTCAAAAACTTGGATAACATAGAATGTTTATTGCAGCAATCCGTTAATTTTCAAGTGGTACAGTGAATAAACTGCATATATAAATTTAGCTTGTCTGATGAGAGACGCTACTTTTTTCCATAGCTGAAGGTACAAGCATGTTACACGTTTGTGGACATCTGCATGCCTAAATGGTTGTGTGGGGTTTCTAGTGTGTGTGCTCACACATTATATTTGTTGTTTTCTTCATACATTAATTTCAGGCACAGTCTGAAGGCATCGGATTCAATTAATGATGAAAAATTTAAATTGAAGCCAACAAAAAAATACTTACTTTGCAAAATTGGCTAAGTTCTGGGTAACCTTGGCAATTAAGGTCAAAGTGCGAGCGGTGCGGTCATCTGGGTATTCCTGCAGAAGATTGAAGAGAGAAGGGGACATAATGGCTGGACACAGGAACCGCAGGAAGAGGGAAGCACTGATTAATCTCTCACTGATGTCAGGACGTCCACGGTTGCTGCACTCCTGCCTCCACGATGCAAACACTTCCTTCAGCTCTCGTGGAAACACGCTGTGGAACAATTTGTTGTAGTCAAGTGAAATTATTTTCCGTCATATATGCTGTTGTTACTTAAACAGGAAAAAAAAATCTTAGAGATAGTAGGAACTGCAGATGCTGGAGGATCTGAGATAACAGGGTGTAGAGCTGGATGAACACAGCAGGCCAAGCAGCATCAAAGGAGCAGGAAGGTTGACGTTTCGGGCTTAGACCCAGCTATTGAAAGTCATGCCCAGCGTCAGCCATATTAAGATTTTAATAACTCAATTTCTTCTTCAGTTTGAAATACTTTTATGGCATTTACATATAATATTTTCATGTTAAGTCAATCATAATGCAACAACAGAAATGAAGAAAAAATGTTACATAAGATTTATGGTAACTCAGTTTTATGAAAGAATAGGTTACTAAAGAAGCTCCTTTAGGATTATGTTAACATATAGGTGCAGGAATAGGCCAGTCAGTCCATTGGGTCCACTCTGTTATTCTAGATCGTGGGTGATTATCTACCTTATTGTCGTACTTCTGTGCTATCCCCATATCGTTTGGTATCATTAGCACCTAGAAATCCATCAATCTCTGTCTTCAACCTCGTTATTGACTGAGCTTTCGCAGTCTCTTTGTCTTATTAGGTTCTTGATTATCAAGGGGATCAAGGGTTACGGAGAGAAAGCAGTAGAATGGGGCTGAGGAACTTATCAGTCATGATTGAATGGCGGAGCAGACTTGGTGGGCCGAATCGCCTAATTTTTGCTCCTATGTCTTGTGGTCCTATAGAAAACGCTGAATTCACAACCCTGTGCATGAAGAAATTTCTCCTCATCTTGGTCCTAAATAGCTTGCCTTTTATTCTGAGACTGTAGCCCCGGGTTCTAGACCCCACATCGAGGAGAAACATCCTTGCTGCATCTGCTCTGGTTATTTCTTTAAGACGTTTGTAAGTTTGTATGAGATTGCTTCTGATTCTTCTAAACTCCAGAGATTCTATACAATAAAATGCTGAATTTAGAATACCCAACAGTGCAGCACAGGAACAGGCCTATTCCTTGCTGAATGTGTTTTTTGATTAATAGTAATGGTGATGATGTACTTACCCAATGGGGAAATATGGGCTTATCATTAAAAACACAATATAAATCATGACAGTGCTTTTCATTTTGCTGAAGAAATTATGTATTAAAGTTATTATAATTCACAAAGATGGTGTTTATTTTAGCTTATGGCAGAAGTCAACATCGGTTTGGAGGCAATTATGTTTCTTTAGATGCATATTTTGCTTTAATGATGATTATTGACAAGATTCATAATACATGTCAGTAATAAATATTTAACAATTTATACATTAAACTAAAGCATACATTAATACTGAAAGTGTGAATAATTTACTTGTAAACAAGATAACTTTTGTGAACAGCTTTAAAATTAGCTGTTTAAGAAAACTATATTACGTTAAAAGTATGCATCCAGTGACAGTTGTCTGTTATGTTAGCATAAAATCCTTCACATATAAATACAAGAAACCTTATGTTCATAAGGTCTTACCATTTTGTGTTGGAGTTAGTACCAAGTCTCCTCTATTTTAAAGTTTAAGTGCAGAGCTGAATGCTACTGTTTTATCAAAGGGAATTGTAAGTCCCAGCATTGACAGGCCTCTCACTGGGAGAGGGACGTAGCAGATAACATTTTCAAGGACAACAGCGTACAAATGTCATAAATCTCCATTTAAAGTTCTATTCCCTTGGGGCTACTTGGTAAAGATAAAAGCATCTTCAAATATTAGCCTGCATTGTAAGTAAGGTGCCATTAATATTGTAGTATGATTTGTAACCATCTGATATATAAACAGTTAACAACGATTGAGTTACTAATTGACAATAAATGTGCTACACAACCAAAATAAAAAATCCTCTCAAATTTGCTCTGTAAGAATATGAATGAAACACATTTTGTCACAGTAATTAACATACTCAGTTATTACTCTGATTGTTCTAATGAGTAAACCAATTTTTGCCAGTAAGGTATCATGCATGCATCAGCAATCAGTTGAATATGATGATTAACAAAATATTATTTTGTGTAAATTTTACAACACAAAGACCTTAACCAGAAACAGCTACTTTGATTATACGTTCAGCTACTTTTAAAAATCTAAATTTGCACATCTTAAAAACTAGTCAGTCAATGTAAAATATCACAGGCACCCAATATTTTTACATGAAAAGTGTATCATGGCTGTGAAATGTCTTCCCATCTACATATCAACCAGTAAAGGCTCAAAAAGGTACTGCAAGTGGAAAAAGCCTAGGCAGCTATCTAATGAACTGGGAGGAGGTAAAGGCTCTGTGTGAATAAAAGCCTCATTATTAGATCACGGCTAACAATTTAAAAAGGGTATACATTATGTCAATAATGCCTTTTGAGATAATTTTCAGATGATAATCCACAGTTACCATGAATCTCTGAGAGGTGAAAAGGAAAATGATTTGGCATTAGAGCTGGAGAAAAATTTCATTAAACATACATTCTGAGAAAATACATCTCTTTCCAAACAAATCTTTCTTATTGCTTAATGGAGCGATAATGATTGCAGTTATCTAGCAAAATTAATCTAATCTTGTATAAACTTTTAACCAGTTGGCTACTATAAGAATAAAAAGTGACAGTTCTAAAGTTTCACTTTGGTTAAAAAAAATTGTCATGAAGACAGGGATGTTTAACACTCCTGCAGAAGATTTAAGGGAAAAGTCATGATTCTAAATAATTACCAGGGAAAACCTTTCCCCTCAGTATTAATTTGCAATTCTACAGGTGCACAAGATGCATTAAAGTTTCAAATTACCACTTTCCTGGCTCATAATAAAATAGATTGCAAGTGCTATAAATTTAAAATGGACTCCTGCTGACTTACAATGTATTTCTACAATAAGCACAACCTCCCTAAAAGCACTTGTGGGTGTACCTTTGTAGGTGTATCTACCCCCATGATTTGCGGCAGTTCAAGAAGATTGCTCATCACCATTTAGTCAAGGACAATTAAACATCGACAATAAATGCAGACCTTGCCTTCAATGTTCACATCCCGTGAAAGAATTAAGAAGAAATGCTCCAAGCATTAATGATTAATCAAAGTTACAAAGAAGACTATAAAAATTATTATAGGTATTCAGTGAGGCTGGTTAGGAGTCAGGCGATGGAATTTTAAACTTGTTCTTTTGGGCTTTGCAGTACTTAGTAATTTACATTTGTTGTTTATCTTATTTTTGCGGTACAATCAAAATAACAAAGGATGGATATAATGCATGTGTTTATCATTTGTCCGGGGTGGGCAGGGCGCGACCGTAATTGAATAAAATTACTGATTTATTAGCACATGCTGGAACTTTCCTGCTCAAATTTAAAATCTATACTTCTCACAAAACAGGGAACACTGCACAGATGGAAACTAATTACAAGTTTTCTATTTCATCCCTATGGCTGCTATGGAAAATATTTCTAAGCAAAGCTTAAACAGATTAATTATTGTTTATAAGTAAACGTACTTGGTAATGAATATACAATGTATTTCAGACTAAATACACATCTATTCTTTAATATCTGAAAAGTTATCATAAATGATATTGAAGTGACAATTCAAAATTAAAACAGAAGTTATTTCAAATGGTTAATGGTTCTGTCTACATCTGAAAAGCAGAAAGACTGTGGAAGGCTCCTGGTTGCAGTCCTTTATCAGGAGAGGAAATGTTATCTTTTTCAGAGACTGAATGACTTGTTGCTTTTCACTTTTGAAGGCCTAATTACGTCATGAACCTAACAAGTCATTGATAAAAGAAACATAGCAATGGAAATCTCCACTGAAGTATAAAGAGGTAACTGACCAGTATGAGTTAATGATCTTGCAGAATGCCAGCTCGCAGCACATTTTCAGGTTGCTCTGATGCTCGGCAAGGTCTCCTGATGAGCATTTGTTTGGATCCACCTCACAATTCTCATCTGATTCATAGAGAGCCTTGATGAACTCTCCTGTAGAAAACAGCAGTAAATTATTGCCAGTTAAATACCTCCCATTTTTAAAAAAAAATTCCATCTTTGATCATAGCTGCACTTACTTAAAGGCAACAAGAAGCAAAAATCTGCCTTCTCATGTTTTCTTCAATCATTAATGTTAGTGTATTCAAATCCAATACATAATTAGGGATTTAATTTAAAACAGTGGGTATAATACATTATTTACTGGCAGCTGAACTGGTATCAACAGGAATACTGAGAAATACTGAGCAGCACCAGAAATCTGTCATTTTCTCAACCAAACATTGGTGCAAAGCACAACTAGGAATTCATTACAAAAGCAATTTCCTACATTCCCAAAAATGCAACAGAAAACATTCCAAGGCAAACTACAATTTACAGGAATAGTCAATGTTTCCTGTCTAGACAAAATGTAAAACAAACTTCATGTTCAGTTACTGATGCAAACATACTCCCCAGATAATTTTCTTTTGATGTGTCGATGTCTCTCATCAAGCTGTTATTATACCAAAGTGGTTCTGGAAAATATAACTTTGAAGTAAATGTCTGTAGACCAGAAATTAAATTGTAATTTCACATTATTCATTTCACCCCTTCTGAAATCATTGCTTTCTATTGCAATGTTGATCCACAGATGTTGGGTGCTCCCATTGTAAGGAACATCTGCCGACTGATAATAACTGGATGTAAAGGTAGGATAATATTACTCTGAGCAACCAACAGGAAATGCATCTCTATGCAATACATCTGGTTTAGATGACTTTTCATTTTTTCCCCCAAGAGATCATGTACTCATCTACTGTATCACACTCTTTCCTGGAGCAGGGCCAAGATCCAGGGAAACAACAATGATAAAACAGATGTTCAAAGTGATAATGAAAGTGCAGGATGTAGGCTCACTTTTGCGACTCCACACATTGTAAACTTATAGACTTGGTCAACTTACGTGAGAAGGAATGAGATAGCAGCGGAACACACTTCCATAGAGAGGAAGAGTTAACTGGACAGAACAAATGGAGGTCCTTGTACATTTTTTAGTGGTTGGTCTATTTATGAGAGAAAGAGAGCACTTCACGTTCTTCTTCTCCCAGTTACGAAAAGTAGATGGTATTAGCCAAACTAAAGTTGGGAAGAAACAGTCTTGAAGAGTAACACTGAGAAGAAAGAAGTAAGCATATCGAAAGGCTACGGGAGGCTGGAATCAAAGTTAAACTGTTTAGCTGACAATTCTCTGCTTCCGTTGTTCATTGTTACTGATTAAAGGAAATAATAATAACTTCCACATCACCCAAAAAGTACATTAATAATACCAATTAGTTTTTTATTGGTTTGGCTGCAAATAGACATTCCTACAAATGAGGCTGACGCCTCTCGGAAACTGGAGGAGCAGCACCTCATATTCCGCCTCGGGAGCCTACAGCCCAATGGCCTAAACGTGGATTTCACCAGTTTCAAAATCTCCCCACCCCTGGGCTCATCCCATGACTAACCCTCCCTCTCATCCCTGCCTCCTTGACCTGACACAACCTGTGCATCTTCTCTCCCACCTATCCACCCCTCCCATCTCACTGTCCAATCCCCACCACTGCCTACCTGCACTCACCTATCACCATCCAACCTACCTTACCCAGCCCCACCCCTCCTCTATCTTTATTTCCGAGCTCTCTTCCTCTTCTCCATTTCTGAAGAAGGGTGCCAACTCGAAAAGTCAACTTTCCTGCTCCTCTGATGTTGCCTGGCCTGCTGTGTTCCTCCAACTCCACACTGTGTTACCACATTCCTACATATGGTTTTCTTGCTATTTCATGTTAGTGTTGATGAATAATTTGATAAATGAGAAAATTTAACAATGGTATTTCAATTGCAAGCTGCAATGGTAACAGGTTACTTCCCACAGCTGCATATTCTTGCCCTCCAAGATTATACATTAGAGGTCAAGGCAAATGCTCTTTTTTCAACTTACCTTCCTTAAAATTTAAGTCAATACTTAAATTAACCTAGGTAATAATATTTTTGCCTATGTAAAAATGGTGAGTAGAAAGGTGGACATGATTAGTGAACTCTCCAAACAAAAAAAGGACTGTTTTCCAGAAAACAACAGATAAAGAATTGTTGGAAAAGGAAATTCCCATGATTTTATTTAAACATAGCAATACTTTTTAAGCTACAAAAAAGGCACAGTTAAAGGAGTGTAAGTTTGAACTCTGACTGCTTAGCATTTGTTTTGCAAACTTCCTTCTGGCATACCGAGTGCATCTTGAAGATACTTCTGGCCAACCAACTTTAGATACTCTTCTATTGCTTTGGTTGCTAAGGTGTTTTCTCGAAAAATTAGATGTTCGTTGTCACCACAACGATCAACTTCAGACATCATCAAATCTGCCAAGAAATCCTGTAGAAGAGAATATTAGAACCAAGTCAATTAGTAGTTGAAACAACACCAGGAAATGCTGGAGAAACTCAGCAGGTCTGGCAGCATTTTGTGGAGAGAGAAAAAAACAGTTACCATTTCAGGTCCAGTGACCCTTCTTCAGAACTGATTGTTGCTAGGAAAAGATGGTATGTATGCTGAAGGGGGTGGGGAGGGGAGAAGGAGTACGCAATAGGTGGACAGAAAGACAGTTAGGCAGATGAAGGGGTGGATAATAGTAAGCCAGGGAGAAAGAAAAGCTGATAATTGGGACCATTAATGGTGAAAATGGGTTGGCTATGCTGAAAGCAACCCTTGTCAGGTTAAGGCCTGGGGTGTGAAGATGGGCGAAGATCATGGAAGGTGGTGTTCAGGCCCTAAAATTATTGAATTTGATATTGAGTCCTGAAGACTGCAAGAGCCCCAGGTGGAAAATGAGATGCTGTTCTTCTGGTCGGGATGGGCCTTGGTGGAGCACTGCAGCAGACCCGAGACACAAATATTGGCCAGGGAACATGGTGCTGTGTTGAAATAGTAGGCAACTGGAAGCCTGGGGTCATTTTTGCAGACAGAACATAGGTGTTACACAAAGTGGTTACCCAGTCTTCATTTCATCTCCCAAATGTAGGGTGATCACATTGTGATTGGTAAATATAGCAGACTAAGTTGAGTGAAGTCCAGATAAACTGCTACTTCACCTGAAATGTGTGTCTGGAGCCTGGGATAGTGAAGAGGGAGAAAATAAATAGGCAACTGTTACACCTCCTGCTGTTTGACCACTGTTTTACTACAATACTTAAGAAAATAGACACTGAAATATTACTAACTAAAGACAGCATTTCGTTTTGAATCTCTTCCACTGTTAAACCATTCATACAAAGCATATAAAGATTTGAACAAAGCAGTATCAGTTACAACTGTGGAATTAAGGATTGATCTACTTATAACAGTGTTTTACTATTTGAACATGTAAACTGATAGGACATAGAAAGGGGTAACATTTCCAACTGCTGCAAACAAAAAAAAACTAACCAACAAACTAATCACAAATTTGCCAAAATAACAGAATATATATTTAAAAAATGAGTTAGAATGGGACTGAAACATTGGTCAATATCACACTTTACTGATTTGTTTTATTAAAGACATACATATTGAGTTCATTTCTCCAAGCCATTTAGTACACATCAGATACCATCCGTGCGTTTCCTGTGATTTACTGATTTCTACTGCTGTATAAGAGGCTCTGGCAGAGGAACAAGGTTTCAGATAACTTACCTAACCTTGTTTTTACTGCCAGTCATTTTTTGCTTCTATGTTCTCTGATGTCAGGGTTACTGTGCTGATATAAATTTTGTGTACTATCCCTAAACACGTCTCCCATTAGCAGAGATTTTTTTTATTTATTCCTCTAATTAAGACTCAATATTTGATTCTAGTTATTATTTCCCATTCTGTGTTCCATAGCCCCTTATTTGCTGACCAGACAGAGGCATCCACAACTTAAACTATTATTTGTAATGACAGTTATTTGAAAATAAAATCTTAACATTCTTAGGAGAATACAACAAAATTCTCATTGCTGCTTCGGTAAATGCTCAGTTGGTTCAGGCTTGTTCAATACCTGCACAAGTCTGTCCTTATCAAGTAACGGGCCCTCTTATGACACAGAGGTAAAAGAACAAAGAACAATACAGCAGAGGAACAGGCCCTTCGGCCTTCCAAGCCTGTGCCGACACATTTTGTCCTTCCATACTATAACTGTCTTCACTTCCAGGATTTGTATCCCTCTATTCCCTTCCTATTCATGTATTCATCCAAGTGCTTCTTCAACGCTGTTACTGTGTCTGGCAGCGCGTTCCAGGCACTCACCACCGTTCGTGTGAAAAACATGCCTCGCACATCTCTTTTGAGCTTCCCTCCTCGCACTTTGAACTTGTGTCCCTTAGTAACTGACCCCTCCATGCTGGGGAAAAAAGCCTTATACTTTCCACTCTATGCATGCCATTCACAATCTTATAAGCTTCTATTGGGTCACCCCTCAACCTCCTGCGTTCCAGTGAAAACAAACTCGGTTTATCCAACCTTTCTTCATAGCTAAAATGCCCCATACCAAGCAACATCCAGGTAAACCTTTTTCCTGTACCCTCTACAAAGCATCTACATCTTTCTGGTGCAAAAACAGAAGTTGCTGGAAAAGCTCAGCAGGTCCAGCAGCATCTGTGAAGAAAAAAAATCAGAGTTAATGTTTCAGGTCCGATGACCCTTCCTCAGAACTGTGGAAGGGTCACCGGGTGCGAGACATTAACTCTGATATTTTCTTCACAGATGCTGCCAGATCTGCTGAGCTTTTCCAGCAACTTCTGTTTTTGTTCCTGATTTACAGCATTCGCAGTTCTTTCGGTTTTTACATCCTTCTGGTAGTGTGGTGACTAGAATTGTATGTAATATTCCAAATGTGGCCTAACAAAGTTTTATGCTGCAGCTTCATAACTTGGCCATCCTTATGCTCAATGCCCCTTCCAATGAAAGTAAGCATGCCGTCAACTTCTTTTTTTAAAACTACCTTAGCCACCTGTGCTGCCACCTTCAGTGATCTGTGGACTTGCACACCCAGATCCCTCTGCATAACAATACTCCAAAGGGTTCTTCCATTCACTGTATAATTTCCATCTGTAGTTGACCTTCCAAAATGCATCACCTCACATTTGTCTGGATCAAACTCCATGTGCCATTTTTCTGCCCATGACTCCAACTGATCTATATCCTGCTGTATCCTCTGACAATCCTCCTCACTATCCGCAACTCCACAATCTTTGTAACACCCACAAACTTACTAATTAGACCAGCTACATTTTCCTCCAAATCATCTATGTAGATCATGAACACAGAGGTCCTAGCACTGATCCCTATGGAACTCCACTTATCACAACATTACATTCTGAAAAGCATCCTTCCACTGCCACCCTCTGTCTCCTGTGATTTATCCAGTTCTTTATCCATCTTGCCAGCTCACCCCTGATACCATGTGACTTCCCCTTTGTCCCAGTCTGCCATGAGTAACCCTGTTAAAGGCCTAACTGAGGTCCATGTAGACAACATCAACCACTATTCTCTCAATCATCTTCGTCACCATCTTAAAAAACTCGATCAAGTTAGAGAGGCAAGGCCTCCCTCACACAAAACCATGCCGTCTTTCGTTAATAAGTTAATTTGCCTCTAAATGGTATAGATCTTGTCCCCGAGAATCTTTTCCAATAATTTCCCTACCACCAACATGAGACTCATAGGCCTATGCTTTCCAGGATTGTCCCTGTTACCCTTCTTAAACAATGGGACAACATTTGCTATTCTCCTACCCTACCCCTATACCAAGAATCCTGGGTTCAAGTCCTACCTGCTCCAGAGGTCTATATTAATATCTCTGATCAGGTTGATTAGGAAAATAGGTATAACAAAACATATCACTGTTGACCAACAGGTGAAGATACATATTTCTAAAAAGTCAATGTATCTACTTAATTTAAATTACAACAGAAATATTTATTTAAATATTTAGATGATGGAACCATATGCACAGGTTAGTCCTTAGCATTTTTGAATAGTTGGCTGTTCAAGACAATTCTAATCAGCCACACAAGATTGAAGCCTGACATGACAAACGTTATTTAAAGAAATGTTTTGTATTTCCATGGATCTACATGAAATGACAATTTTACAGATATTTAAGAACAAATTACTCTGCAATCTTTAACAAACCAGGGCACTCAATTCTAACACAAACAACAACGGGAAGTGCTGGAGAAACTCAGCATGTCTAGCAGCATCTATAAAGAGAAAACATAATTAATGTTTTCAGTCCAGTGGCCCTTTTTCAGTTTTGAATTGCTATTTCTCCAGCAATTTCTGTTTTTGTTTGTTTCAGAACTCCAGCATCTACAGTTCGTTGGTTTATTTCACTCAATTCTAATACTACACACAATTGAAAAAAAAGTTTCTTCTTTACTGGAGTAGAAATACCAAATATTTCCAAACTAGCCTGTAATAAGATGATAGTCATTATATTAGCTTTCTGTGACTTCCATATTACTCAAATATAATGCTGAACTACAATAACTTGTATTCAACACAGAAATTCAGCTCCAAAATGTAAGCCATTTGGTCACAGACAATATGATCAGAAGATTGAAATCATACCCTGACAAGCTTTCCCATTTATTTTAGTAATTGCACAGTTCAGCATCATTTATATTCTTCAGACAGGAAGAGCAGTCAGGGCATTCGATACATTTGCATGATTAGGCAAGGAGAGACAATGTCCAAGATAATTAAAATGGTTTATAAGATTATTTTACTTCTTTACACCAGCTATTAAACCAATTAGCTGAGAACTGGTGAAACTTTCTGAACAAGAGGCAAACTCATTCACTCTTGTACTTGGAAATTAGGTGACAATATTAATATGAACTATAATGACGTTTGTTTAGAAGACATGCCCTTTTTATTATCAAAAAACAAAATACATTGCAATGTTGAAAAAGACTTTTCCTATGAAGAGAGACTGATAATAGTGTAGAGACCATAGAATAGTGAAGCATATCAATCAACTTTTCAAAATTATTTTAATTAGATGTTAGCTCAGGTAACGTTTTCCCTTTGCTATGGATGTGCAGCTTTTAAATAGGCCATATTTGATTTAGTGTAATGATAAAAACTATGATGTAAAAAACTCAACTTTCAAATTTCTCCTCACTCCTCAAATTAGTGACAGGTTAAACGTATACATCATCCTGAAATGGCACTAACTTTCAGAGTTTCACAGGTCTTTGGAAGATCTGGTTATTATGCACTGTGCTAAATTTGCATTCTGAATGGGTTCTATCATTAAACAGCGTGGAGCTTCACTGTAATATAACAATTTACTAAATTTATTTTCCAACTACGCTGCTGGCAGTTTTTTGCTTACAATGACTGTACGTCATGTGGTATTGTGTATGTTAATGACGTGAACCAGGGTTTAAAAAAAAGTTCAATGAGGTGAAAGACCTGGATTAATTAAATAGTCACAGCAGGAGAAAAAAAAAATCTTATTCTGCTTTTTAAAGTTGCACTTTCAGCAGAAAACAAAGTCTGAGAAACAGTTGAAGGTGAATACATGAAAAATGCTTTGCAGTGATAGTTATTTCAGAATTCCAGCATCTGCAGTATTTTATTTTTGTATTTTCCTTTATTTGTTCAGCTGATGGTGTAAATAATTATTTGAAAACAACAGAGAAGCACATTTCTATTAAATCATTGTGACAATTATAGTACATTATGAATAATACAGAAAATGCTCAAAGTACTCAGCGGGTCAAGCAGCATCTATGATGACTGATGCCAAATTAACATTTCAGGTTGATGACCTTTAAATGTCAAGCATTTGCAGTTTTTTTGCTTTTGTAATTGCAAATTAATGGATCTCTTTGGAAAAAAGCTGCTGTTACAATAAGTATTGAAAATGCATAAAGCCAAAAAGAAAAAGATCAGGTGGGTGCAATTGTGAGTCTTTTTATTTTTTTCATCTGAATTTCTGCAAAATTATGCAAATCTACAATTCCCTTTCTTGTGTGATAAATTGTCTTAATTTGCCAATGAAGGAACAGCATCAACAGGAAATCTTTTCAAACCACTGTCAGGCGAACTCAGTGTCATTAAAAATAAATGAGCACATGAATTACAATAGTTCCTTTGAGTAAACTTACACTGTACTAAGGGCCAAGGGAAGCTGTTTGACTTCAGATTGCTAATAGAACAGATATGTTAGGCTCTAACAGAATAAGCCCATCACTTAAGGTATTGTCCAGTGCCATGAACAACATTTTGGCAGTAAAAGCGAAAGCAACACACTTGTATAGCACCTTCAGGGCCACAGGATGTCCCAAGATGTTTTACAGCCCACCTTTAAGGTGTAGTCACTGCTATAATGTTGAGAATGAGATGGCTAATTTATTCACAGCAAGATCCCTTTAACAGTAATGTGATAATGATCAGGTAAGCTTTTTGATGTTTTCTGGGGGATAAAAATTGGCCAGGGCACTAGGGAGAACATCCCTGCTCTTCATCAAAATAGTACCTGGGGTGTTTTGCATTCACCTGGAATTGCAGCTGGGGCCTTAGTTTGACATCCATCTGAAAGACACATGATTGTATGGTCATTAGAGTGTAGGACTCAAAGTTGGTTGCCACCTGTGGAAGAATATTCATCAAGAATCAGTGCCTTCAGGAAAGGAAGGGTGGAGTGGGGGAGAGGAAGGAAGTTAAAAAGGAATAGATTTTATTAAGAGATTAACAACTATGTAAAAGAATCTACTTTTTTTGAAGACATGTGCATTAGAGTAGAAATAATACAAGCCTAGAGGTAGCTCATAGCATTCTGCATTAGAGTGCAGGCTTTCTTTGTGCTTGAAGCTTAGTTTTGCCTTATGGGAACAGGAAAGAGGTCCGTGAACTTAATCATGAAGGGAATCACTGCGTCTATCATTCTAGGCCTAATGGATCCTTTGAGTTGAAGGAGCTTTAGCCTCTCTTTGACCTGACTAAACAATAGTAGCAGAATTTTCACAGATTCTGACAAACACTGACAAAAAAATTCTAAAGCTTAAATCAAAACTCTTGAGAAACCACTCAAACGATCTTCAGATTCACAATTTTTGCCTTTCTTACTGCAATGTCAAACACACAGACTTAAGCAATGTCAAATAATATCTTTTTCCCACCTTAGAAAAACACAACGTCTGAAACTGTTGGAAGAAATAAAGTAAAAAGGCAAATATATGAGCTTGCCAATATAGTGTGTTCTCTCAATGCTGTTCTACCAGTAAATTAAACCCAAAAGGTGACCCTTGTTTAGTACAAGTAGATATGTGGGAACACAGTCTTCCTCTCCAAGCACTCACCATAGTGATTTGGAAATATATTGCCGTTGCAACATACTGTCACTGGCTGAAAATCCTGGACTTCCCTTCTAATGGCATTGTTGGTCTACCTTCAGAAGATGGACTACAGCAGTTTAAGAAGGTAGTTCACCACTTCCTTCTGAAGGGAACTAGGAATGGGCAATAAATGCTGGCCCAGCCAATGACACCTACTTCCCACAAGTGAATAATTTTTAAAAAATTGGAGCTGTTCATAAAGCCCATTCATAAACTAACATAATGGTAATCCAGATTAAGTGATCAAACCACAATAAAATCAAAATACTGCAGATGCTGGAAATCTGAAATAAACACAGACTTTTTTAAGTGAACTGGTCACACCACAAGAAAAGGCTTTACAGGCAGAAAAAGGTTGAGTGTCACTAGTAAGCATGGGCAGATAGTACAGGAGTCCCCTGTGGCCATTCCCCTCTCAAACAGATACACCGTGTTGGATACTGTGGCGGGGTAGCCTCTCAGGAGAAAGCAGCAACGGCCAAGTTTGTGGCACCCCGTTTGGCTCTGCTGTAAAGCAGAGGACGAAAAAGACTGGGAAAGTTTTAGTGATGGGGACTCGGCAAGCGGTTCTGTGGCAGTAATTGAGACTCTCGAATGGCGAGTTGCCTGTCTGGTGCCAGGGTCCCGGATGTCTCAGAGTGGCTGCAGAACACTCTGAAGGAGGAGGGTGAACAGCCAGCAGTTGTGATATATGTTGAACAACATGGTTGAAAAAAGAAATGAGGTCCTGCAATAGGAATTCAGAAAATTAGGCAGTAGATGAAAGAGGAAGCCTACTAAGGTTGTAATCTTTGGATTACTATCAATGCCATGTGCTTCTGATTAAAGGAATAGGAAAACAGGTCACATGAAGGCTTGGCTAAATGGATAATGTAGGAGGGACGGTTTTAGATTTTTGGTTTATTGGAACAGTTTCTGAGGTAGGTGGGAGATGTGCAAGCATTGCACCTGAACCTGAATGGGTCCAATATTCTTGCTGCAGATTTCATGCCTCTTGGGAGGTTTTGATAAAGAAAACTATCATTGTAGTAACAAGAGGGGAATGTCTTAGAAGGCTCTTTGAACGATGCCATCTGGGGAGGGCTTAGAAATAAAATAGGCCTCTCAACAAATGTGCATAAATTCCAGGGTCTGTTGAAATGTACACCAAACTGCTGTGGGAGACAAGGGAGGAGATTGCTGGGGCCCTGGTAGAGATATTTAATATCTCACTGGCCAAAGGTGAAGTGCTAGATGACTGCAGAATAGCTAATGTGGTTCTTTTGTTCAAGAAGGGCAGCAGTGATAGACCAGATAACTATAGACCGTAGGGAATTTATTGGAAAATTTCAGAGGGACAGGATTAATCAACACATGGAAAGGCAGGGATTGACCAGGGATGGTCAGCCCGGATCTTTTAAAGGGAGATCCTTCCTGACTAATTTAATTGAATTTTTGAAAAGGTGACTACATATACTGATGTGGTAGTGCAGTTGATGGTTTATACGGACTTCAGTAAAGCGTTTGACAAGGTCCAACATGGCAAGCTGGTCCAAAAGCGAAGAACCCGTGGCATGAAAGGCAAGTGGGTAAACTGGATATGAAACTGGCTTGCAACGAGGAAGCAAAGCGTGATGGTGGAAGGATGGTTTTGTGATTGGAAGGCTGTGATCAGCAGTGTACCACAGGGATTGGTGCTGGGACATTTGCTGTTTGTTACATGCGTTGATGACTTGGATCTGAGTCTAGAAGATATAACTAATAAGTTTGCAGATGACAGGAAAATTGGTGTTGTTGAAGAAAGCGAGGATGGTGGTATTAGGCTGCAGTCTGATATTGAACAGCTGTTAAATTGGGCAGAAGGCAGATAAGTGCAAAGTGATGCATTTGGTAGGTCTAATAAGGCAAGGGCATACACAATAAATGGTAGGTCCCTAGGGAGGACTGAAGAACAAAGGGACTTTGGTGTACAAATCCATGGATCCCTGAAGGTGTCAGCACAGGTATACAAGGTGGTGAAGGCAGCATACACGATCACAGAATCATAGAATCTCTACTTTGCAGATCGAGGGTATTTAGCCCATCGAGTCTGCACCGACTCTGAACAGCATCCCACCCAGACACACCACCACCAATCCCTGTAATTCCACATTTGCCATGGCTAATCCACCTAGCTTATATAGCCCTGAACACTATGAGACAATTTCCCATGGCCAATCCACCCAACCTACACATATTTGGACTGTGGGAGGAAACCAGAGCAGACCACAGAAACCCATGCAGCTTTACAACTTTATAAAACATTGGTTAGGCCACAGGTGGAATACTGCATAGAGTTCTGGTTGTCATGCTACCAGAAGGACTTAATTACACTGGAGAGGAAGCAGAGGAGATTGACCAGGATGTTACCTGGGACAAAAAGTCTGTTATGAGGAAAGACTGGACAGGCTGGGTTTGCTTTTCTTGGAGGAGAAGAGGCTGAGCGGAGATCGGATTGAGGTATACAAAATTATGAGAAACATAGACAGAGTAGATCGTGAGAATTTTTTCCCCCATGGCAGATATGTCTAAGACCAAAGACCATAAGTGTAATGTGAGGAGTAAACGGTTTAGAGGAGAGGAAAAAAAAAACTTCCTCTTTTCTGAGGAAAGAAAATTTCACCCAGAGGGTGATAGAAATATGAAACTTGCAGTCTGAGGTTGGAGGATGCAGGTATTCTCGCCACATTTAGGAAGCATCTGGACGAGCACTTAAAATGCCAGGGAATGGTCGGCTATGGGCAATGCACTATGGAAACAGACCCTTCAGTCCAACTCGCCCATGCCGACCAGATATCCTAAATTAATCTAGTCCCATTTACCAGCATTTGGCCCATATCCCTCTAAACACTTCCTATTCATATACCCATCCAGACGCCTTTTAAATGTTGTAATTGTACCAGTTTCCACCACTTCCTCTGGCAGTTCATTCCACACACACACCACCGACTGTTTGAAAAACCTGCTCCTTAGGTTCCTTTTAAATCTTGCCCCTCTCGCCTTAAACCTATGTCCTCTAGTTTTGGACTCCACTATTCTGCAAAAAAGACCTTGTCTACTTGATCTATCCATGCCCCTCATCATTTCATAAACTTCTATAAGGTCACCCCTCAGCCTCCGGCACTTCAGGGAAAATAGCTCTAGCCTATTCAGCCTCTCCCTATAACTCAAACCCTCCAACCCTGGCAAAATGCTTGTAAATCTTTTCTGAACCATTTCAAGTTTCACAATATCCCTCCTATAGCAGGGAGACCAGAATTGAATGCCGTATTCCAAAAGTGGCCTAACCAATGTCCTGTACAGCCATAACATGACCTCCTAACTCCTACACTCAATGCACTGACCAATAGAGGCAAGCATCCCAAATGCCTTCTTCACTATCCTGCAACTCTACTTTCAAGGAACTATGAACTTGCACCCCAAGGTCTCTTTGTTCGGCAACACTCCCCAGGGCCTTACCATAAGGGGTATAAGTCCTGCCCTGAATTGCCTTTCCAAAACGCAGGACCTCACATTTATCTAAATTAAATTCCAAATGCCACTCCTTGGCCAACTGGCCGACCTGATCAAGGTCCCATTGTACTCAAGTAACATTCTTGGCTGTCCACTCCTCCACCAATTTTGGTGTCATCTGCAAATTTACTCACCATACCTAAGTTCCCATCCAAATCATTTATATAAATGACAAAAAACAGTGGACCTAGTACCAACCCTTGTGGCACACCGCTGGTCACAGGCCTCCAGTCCGAAAAGCAATCCTCCATCACCACCCTCTGTCTCCTACCTTTGAGGCTTTTCTGTATCCAAACGGCTACTTCTCCATCTTTTCTACGTGATCTAACCTTGCTAAACAGTCTACCATGCGGAACCTTGTTGAATACCTTACTGAAGTCCATATAGATCACATCTACCGCACTGCCTTCATTAATCCTCTTTGTTGCTTCTTCAAAAAACGCAATCACGATTTCCTGTGCTCAAAGCCATGTTGACTATCCCTAATCAGTCCTTGCCTTTCCAAATACATGTAAATCCTGTCCCTCAGGAACCCCTCCAACAACTTGCCCACTACCAATATCAGGCTCACTGGTTTATTGTTCCCTGGCTTTTCCTGACTACCTTTCTTAAATAGTGGCACCACGTTAGCCAACCTCCAGTGTTCTGGAACCTCGCCTGTGGGTA